TGGAACATACTGGTAATATGGTGGAACATACTGGTGATATGGTGGAACATACTGGTTATATGGTGGAACATACTGGTTATATGGTGGAACATACTGGTGATATGGTGGTATATACTGGCGATATTGTGGAACATACTGGTGATATGGTGGTATATAGTGGCGATATGGTGGTATATACTGGCGATATGGTGGTATATAGTGGCGATATGGTAGAACATACTGTTGATATGGTGGAACATACTAGTAATATGGTGGAACATACTGGTGATATGGTGGAACATACTTGTGATATGGTGGAACATACTTGTGATATGGTGGAACATACTTGTGATATGGGGGAACATACTGGTGATATGGTTGTATATACTGATGTTAAAGTGTTACACTACTTTTCGAACTAGTTTATTAATGTATTTGCGCCTTTCACAGTACATGACACTGTAGGATATTATCCGCAAAATGTGTTAATATTGTCTAGTCTCTGGATGCACCAAGAAATATCGACACAATTCTCCTGTATCTGCACTATAACCCATCAATGGAGACGCACAACAAAATAAAATAGGACGTAGAAACATCCTTGGCGTACACCAATTACACAGGCAAACATGCTTTCGACCGTATGATTAAATACTGTAATGTATGTGACGAAGCATTTTCCTTCTTTATACCCTTTGATTTAAATGAGGCAAAGGTCTTAGCAAAGTTGAAAATTAATGCTTATAATTTACCACCTTTGACAATAGTAAGAACGTGTTATTCATTGTGGAATGGCCAAGTCTAAATCTTGCATCTAAGACCGTATAACTTCGCTAGTTTTAAATGGATTATTTGCTAAAGATCTATCAAGGGAAATAAATGAGAATTCAGTATCTGGTATCCAGTAACCCAGGTTGTCGTACATCATGTTTATTGTTGTTTGCAAGCAACGTAATACTTACTGTTATGGTGTTTGGTCTGCAGAAAAGAATACACATTTTAGACTGCTTTGATTATCAATTATCACGAAACCGAGGTAAGACGAAAATTGCTCTGGAATTAGTACCAGATACCAAACATGAAAGTGAGTGATTGAGTACGGTTTCACGCCGCTTTCAGCAATTTTCCAGCAATATCACGGCGGTGGACACCAGAAATGGGCTTCACACATTGTGCCCATGCGGGGAATCGAACCCGGGTCTTCAGCATGACGAACGAACGCTTTAACCACTAGGCTACCCCCCAACCCCCAACATGGAAGTATTGGCTTACTCTAATTGAATGCGTGTCATCATATAAATATTTAAGCGAATGTTTCACAAGGAATCTATCTTGGTTAAAACCCTTTAATAAAGGACTCTAGGCTAAAGGAATACTGTTTTCTGTCTTGAATATGTAATAATTGTGAAATATAAACGTATTCTTTGTACACCATTTTTTCCGATTTTGCTGGTACTGAAACCTGTGGTACAAATATAAACAAAAGTTGTACTCACACTTACCTGTAAAAGAATCTTTCCCATCAAATCCACCACGCCGAATCATGTCGCACGAGGTGAATGTGGTAGGTATCCACTTTATATATTGGCGTTTAAACGCTGCATCAAATATTGGTGTAAACGGATAAAAATGTCAGATTCACTTTTACCCCCAATAGTTATTAAATGTTTTATCAGGCAGGTAATAATGGTAAAACCAAATGAGGCATAGATAAGGTCTCTTCTTCATAAATGTGGTTTTGAATTTATTTGGGAAACCAGAGAGTTGACAGTCAAGAATACGTTTCTTTTACGTCAGCATTTTTCTGTAGTTTAAATGTTAATGTTAAGATGTTTCATTATTCATTGTTCTAGCATGGGTCGATGCTCATGATGTCAATCATTGGATTTTCTGGTCCAGACTCGATTTTTTTCCGGACCGCCGTCATATAGCTGGAATATTGCTGAGTGCGGCGTTAAACAACAACGAAACTAGCAAACGTTGTTCAAGAATAAATTTTCTGTTGAGCTTTATATAATGTAGTAAAAGAAAGTAAATTCAGGTTTTCTATTGCACAGTTCCGCTATAGCTCACATGAGTTATGTATTGAGACATGTAGATATGTACACGTACCTAGAGAACAAAGACATGTCAAGTTTGTAATCTGGGTTTGGTGGAGACGGAATACCACTTGTTGCTGATCAATAATGTGAATAAAGACCTCCGCCAAATGTACCAAATCACTGGTAAATATAACATAATCATACCTACATCAAATAAAAAAGTTTTAAGAAATTAAGCTACCTCTTTTTACCATGCAATGAATGTCAGAAAACTTATGATCTCGAAGCACAAGGTAACGCATAACCGATTTGAGCTGCATACTGTACAAGTACAGTAAACTACGGTTATAACGAACTCAAAGGGACCACTAATTTTAGTTCGTTATAACCGTAGTTCGTTATAAGCAGATATACAGCATATATGCAACAAATGGTCGGGACTATAAAATAAGTTCGTTATATCGGTCAGTTCGTTATAAGCGTGTTCGGTATAACCGTAGTTTACTGTACCATGGGCCTATGGCATTCATCTGCTCTAAAAAGAATCAAGAATAACGAAATCAAACTGCGCCAATTTGAGGGCACGAGATTCATCTGGATAGCGATCTATGAATGATAGCTCCGCGTTGGTATCTCAGAGTACACCTGTACTTAGTGTTTTGGCATTGCGTGGCGCGGTGACATTCAATAGCAGCGACATATATCAGTTTTCTGTTAATGGCATCTCCTCGGTTTGCGGGCACTTAATGACTACACGTGACATTTAACATGCGTCTTTGAGGTAAGGTGTTTGTGCACTGGAGTGAACCTGTCACACTTATAATATATAAAGCCAGGAAGGGTTTGGATAGTGATCACTCGCCCCACGTTGAGGTGCGTGGTTTAAATCCCAGCAATCTCTGCATGTCGTAAGAGTCGTCATGGATCGGTCGGTCAGTCTCGGTGACTTGCGTGTCATTGCATTCGTCAGCAATCGCCCCTTACCGTAATCAGAGACCATATACCGATATCGGTACATGGTCTCTGCCGTAATCTGCAAGAAGACTCGTCCCCCTATCGATGAATGCTATGTGCGAAAAAACGACAAACCAATCAGAATGCGCGTATGATTTCAAGTTCTTCGTCAAATAATCCCTCAGAAATAATTTTTGATTTTACATGTCTTGCATCTAAAAATATACCCAAGACACAGTTAAATGTGTTCAATCATACTGTATAATTCCGCATGTCCAGCTGTGCTTTAAATTGCATCTGAAATATATATAATATATGGGTAAAGATGTGCGAACCATTACGCAACGAGTTGACAATTGGTTTAGGTATGCCCGTTTGCGCTAAGACGGAGCCCGGTTGCAAAAATGGCCATGAAAGGGACACGAGTCGCTGTTCGGCTAATAACACGAGTTGGTCACGAATGGTGTCATTGTACACCAACGACGTGGGGCGATGTTAAAAAAACAGGGTGTTTTGACTCTAGGACTTCATGCTCCGTCATATTGGTGTACGAGACTGATACGATCTAATCCTCACTGAGGAATTGCGAAATAGCGACATCTTTGTTGTGGCCATTACAAGATGCCATGGAGGTATATCCACACACGAATTAGTAAAATAAGCAGCGCCGTTGACCATTGGGGAATGAACATAAGTAATACGGTCCCTTCCCTTGCAACCGTAAAGAGGTAAAGACCGTAAAGAGCTTCAGCGTGGCAGGGAGAACCGCGAAACGGACCACAGCCCTGGAAGCCCTGTCACGTCAGTAACACCAGAAATAATCCAGAAAATCCATGATATGGTGATGGCCGACCGGCGAATGACCAAGCGTCATATTGCTAGTTCAGTAGGCAGGTCCCGGGAGAGAGTACTTTCCACTGTCATAGTAACAATGAAGAAAGTCGTCGGGTTTCAAAGCTTTACGTCTGATCAAAACCGCACCAAGGCACAACAAATCTAGCTTTGTTTGAAGCTGATCCTTCGATTTGTGGGGGCACGAGTGGCCCAGTCGTCTATGGCGACGCGTTTCGCTGTGCAGAGTTGCGTCCCTTGGACACGCCAGAAACCTATGATTGTGGGTTCGAATACCGGTTCGCCCCGATTATGTTCCTGGGTTTGTCAGCACCATACCCATGCTCGTGGGTTTCACCGAAGTGGTAAACATCTGAGACCTGCATCACTTGGGGCTTTTCTCCCAAAATAAGCTGACACGCCGCGATATGACTGTAATATATTGTTAAAAACGGCGTTAAACACAACTCACTCACTCACTCCAACGATTTGTAACAAAGGATGTAACCTAGATTTACCACTTCCAAACAACAATCAAAGCAGAGAAGCATTTGCCATCACCATCACCAAAGAAGACAAAGACTGTACCGTTAGCTGGAAAGGTTATGGCATCCTTGTTTTGGTAGTGATAAAATCGCACCACCACAACATGTCAGGTGGTAATCTAGCTCTGTTTGATTCTGATCCAGAAAGGTTGTTGCAACGACTTGTAACAATGGAAGATACCTGGGTTATAACTCCAGCATCACCATCAGAGTCGAAACAACAATTTGCAAGTACTTGATCACTGCACGTCTTTCAAGTTTGTCTATTTTCCAAAGGTCACACCCCCGTACTAATTTCCCTGACTTGTCACAGCGAAACAATTTTCTCAAGTGACTGAGGTTTTGCGTGGATATACTTCTATCACATTACGTAATGTCCACACCAAAGATTTTACCATTCCTTGCTCTGTGAGGTTTAGAACTCAATCAACCCTCTCAGCTGGAATTGTGCTGAATGAGGCGTTAAAAAAACCAAATCATAGATCATCGTAGCTCAAGACGTCTCCCGAAGACTTACTGACACTCGGAAGCGTTGAAACCGAGCCTAGCACACAGTCAGACACTGGGCTGGCTAGCCATGGCTCTATTAGTCGGAACGCGGAGAGACTCACTTACAAGGCGAAAGTTCCAATTTCGCTAACTCACTCACCTTCCTTCCATTTCTGACGCCGTCTCTGTACCCACACGGGCCTGGCATCGTGTCGGACATCCGGTACTGTAACTGCCATTCATAACACACACATTATGATGGGGCCAGTACAGTCATAGCTGCCATTTTGCATATACATGCACATATTGTTTTCATGGGTGCACAGTGATCATTTGTTTCTTGTAGAAGTGATCTCTTATCAAGATCGTCGGCGTTAGAAGTAAACACACATACCAAGACTGGCGGGCCGAGTCATGCCAGTCAGTGGGGCGTTCAGGCCTCCCGGTGACATAAAAACCCAGATAGCAGGTACATAGTCAATAGTCCACCAGTACATAGTGTCGTTACCGTGAAGATCCTGGGTAGAATAGGTCTTCAGCAACCCATGCTTGCCGATAAAAGCGATAATGCTTGTCGTAAGAGGCGACTAACATGATTGGGTGGTCGGGCTCGCTGACTTGGTTGATGCATGTCATCGTATCCCAATTGCGTGGACCTATGCTCATGATGTCAATCACTGGATTGTCTGGTCCAGACTCGATTATTTACAGACCGCCGTCATTTAGGTGGAATATTGCCAATGCGGCGTTACACAACAAACAAACAAATCCTAGTGGCGTTCAGTTTAACAAAGGTATGATATCCCATGCTGCCAAGTAATCTATATTTATTTAGAGCAAGCCCACAGCTCAAGCCGAGACATGAACAAGCCCACTACTCAACTCCCTCCTCCACTGCCTACGTGGTTGGAGTCTAAAAACTCCAATAAATAGACCCAGGTATGTATAAGTATCAACTACTTCTAGTTGGGTGTACTTTTTGTGTTGGTAGACTGACTCTGATTTATTCGATTCAGTGTCATCTTATTACACATGCCCCAACTGTTGTGACAATCCAGCAGTACATTGAGGTCATTCTCATCAATATCGTCTCCGTCGGCTAGAATGCCGATCGTACCTACGATCGCAAAGGTGACAATAGCAACCCTTGTCTAACTCCATAGTTAACGTCAGTCCACTGATATTTGACACCGTTCATATCACACAGCACGAAGACCGCCTTTTATAATGAGACAATGGGATTGTGAAGTGTAATACCAAGACCATCGAATTTTTCAAACAGAAGAAATACATTATATTGTAACACAGGGTGTTGTTACAGTCTGTGTAATATCGTTATTTCATTACTTGGGGTACCCCTCATGACATGTATAAAGACTGGTATGTTAATAAGGAAATAGTGTCTGGTTGAAGATTGCCACAGAAGACGAGTACAACAAGAGTGAGTGAGTTGTGTTTAACGCCGCTTTTAACAGTATTCCGGTTATATAAGGGCGTGTCAGCTTGATGTGAGAGGAAAATCCAAAGTGCTGCAGAGAGAGAGAGAGATAGAGAGAGAGAGAGAGAGAGAGAGAGAGAGAGAGAGAGAGAGAGAGAGAGAGAGAGAGAGAGAGAGAGAGAGCGGTGACATCAAAAGTTACATTTGTGTAAAAATAATAAGGTACATAATCACGTCTCAAACTGTCATAATATGGACAGTGTAAACAAAAATGATATTCAGATTCCACTTCAGGTCTTACACAAAATGGACATAGTCTCTTAGCTCTAGGTATATTGTACTTCCTTCCATTATCAATTAGCAAAGTATGACCAGAACATGGTTTTGCTGCTGTTGCTGCTATTTCTTCCATGGCAGTGAGAGGTCACATGACAAGCAGGTGAAGTATTCTTGAGAGAAAAGTAAAAGTCCACTGGAATGGACACATTCCGTTTATGGAATATAACTCCATGAAAAGCAAATTTGCCTCAAAATATTTTAATTCTGACCTAATGACATCAAATATCATTTCTGATTAAACGCAATTCACTCGCCGTGTTATTACTGAAATACTGTTCAAAGCGGCGTTATGCCTACAAACTTAATTCAGCATTAGTGTGAAGCTCACTACTGCTGTCTCCAGCTTGATATTACTGGAATAGTGCTAAAAGCGGCGTTAAGGAAAACTCACTCACTGTCCCGCTCACTCAAATCAGCATTACGATCTGTTCACACACACACACACACGCACCCACACGAATGGCATGTAACGAATACGAATGTGTGTCTTAATGTCACTGTATTCAAATGGTGGCAGAAACACAGCGATCGACTTGTTTCACCATCTGTTCAGTTTCCATCTTATCGGTTGACCCCTCGGGCAGGTTCTAGTAGTATTTATTGACATCAGAGCATCGTTCTCACTGTTGTCAAATAGGACGGAAAAAATAAAAGGCCTTATTACTGTCTACCATATCACGATTTCCTGTATTTGACTGCATTTTCCTCTGACATTCCCGACCCTTTCCGACCCGTGAAGATTCGGGATAGAATAGGTCTTCAGCAACCCATGCTTGCCGTAAAAGGCGACTATGCTTGTCGTAAAAGGCGACTAACGGGATTGGGTGGCAGGCTCGCTGACTTGGTTGATGCATGGACATCGATCCCAATTGCGTGGATCGACGCTCTTGATATCAATCACTGGACTGTCTGGTTCAGACTCGATTATTTACAGACCGCTGTCATATAGCTGGAATAGTGCTGAGAGCGGCGTTAAACAACAAACCAACCAACCAACCAACCCGACCCTTTCCTCGTTGTACCCTGTTTTACACTAATTGTAAATATCTCGTACGACAACAATCTCGGATTCCCCGGTTTCGACATTGCTCAGAAAATCAGCTCTCAACATGTCGCCTCCTCTCCGTGGAAATTAGAACTACGTTTATATATGTTTGAAAGTACATTTTGCGGTTGGTAATATGATTTGCAATAACCAGCACGTCACAAGTAGCCTTTAAACATGCAGAGTTGGTGCATATAAGAGTGCATTGCGATACCACGAACTAAATGGTAGTGAGTGAGTATGGTTGTAAAGGGGGCAGGCTAAAACGGGCACCTCAGCAAAACGTCACCGATTTCTCTGGCGAAAACGGCAACGCATTTGGCGAAAACGGCTACTATGTCTCGGGCGAAAACGGCACCTCTATTTTTAATAATGATAAGAACGATTTTTGTAGTAATATATATGGTTTGTTTACATGGTATTTGATGTATTTACATGTTATTGGATGTATATGATATGTGATGTCTTTACACGGACATGTAAGAAGTCTGAAGGTAAGAAGGTATGAATAAAAGTTAAAATACAATATTCGTTATGTTACAACAATGCGGTTATTCTGAGAATTTATACAATAGCATTATGTAGTTTATTTTATTATTATTTGTACCTCCAAGTCCAATGTCCTCGGCTCTTTGGGGCGCAACAGTTCCCGGGTTCAGTTCGCCATGCGAATGAGGGTTGAATGGTTTTGGCGTCCACCAGCCTGGTCGGGGTCGACGAGTCTCTGTTGAGCATCTTCAACGATACTGGCGCCCGATTTGTAGATGTTTTCAACAGCTTGTTCCTTTACCTAAAACATAATAGTTCAATTACTCTACTGTAACAATAAGCTATTCAACATGTAATTGACAGCTTATTGTAAATTACCGAGAACAATTACACCAATCAGTTATAACAGCAATATTAATACCTCAACTCGGACTTGAATTGCTGTCAACACTGTCCTGGTCCTGGTTTTTACGGGCCACAGAAAGTCCGGTTCCACATACACGATGGGTCCACTGGTTACAGTTGTCACAGGATACAGCATGTTGATTTTTTCTGACATTCTTCTCGCATGCAACACATCGAAAGGCCATTGTGAATAATTGTGATCTGACAGCACCATGTTTGGCCTGTTAAATACAGTTTCAGCTTAAATTGAGTAAAAGTACTTAAAACTTCAACGCATATAGTGTTTTAACAATAAGTTAACTGCGCCTACCAATCAGAGTCGGCGGGTAAATTGGAGAAGGGGGCTAATTTCTTACTTGTTTTATGTAAGTTTATTATCATTTATTTGACCAAGGTGTAAAAAAATAAGGTGCCGTTTTCGCAAGGCAATAGTAGCCGTTTTCGCTTGAGTCGAGGTGCCGTTTTCGCCCGGTGACGTTTTCCTGAGGTGCCGTTTTCGCTATAACCCGGTTGTAAACCGCTGTTAGCACTATTCAGATGGTACCACTACGAGTGGCATATTATAAGAAATTTTAGCATGACATTGAAGTATGTTTGATTCTGATTGATTAAAAAGAGGTATCCTTTTTCCCACTAAAGCCTCTTTTGAATATATTAAGCCTTTTCACACCAAACCGTGAGTATGAATATATCGATGGCCTACATATCGATAAAAAATAAATAGTGCTGCTGTTCATCCAGAAGAACTGTTTTCCGTATCGATATGTCCTCTATTAGACGCTCGGATGCAAGCCAGGTCTCGAAAACACGCCGGATTAAGGGATCTCACGAAATTAATAGACGCCCGAGCGTCTGATAGAGGAGCAACACTACGTTTGATATTGGATGTTCTTGGATGTTCTTGGTTCTATTTTGACGTCCATGGACGTAATCCTGACTGCTTCAATGATGAGATTACAAAACTTAATGAAGGCATATTTTTTGCATTCAAATGATAACGTTTATGAAACTCTTAGGGGCATATTTTGTGGCGAACAGGTAATTTCCTCACTGAAACAAGCGATAATGAAAGTCTAATAAAACATAATGAAAAGTGATAAAAAACTTTATTCATGACAACATGGTGTTTCCAGACCTTTTTGTGATCGATATTTATTGCCATCTCCCTCAACCACCAATGTTAGGATTTGGCAGAAAGGGATTTTAAAGTCCATCAGAAAACACTGGTCCCTTCCTAAGGCCAAGAAAACTCACAAACAAATGTCCTTACGTAACTGCAGTCACAGCACGGAGAAATAAATTCGTTCAGGATTTTTTTCACTATTTCTACCAACTTACGATGGGAGATTAAATAGTTGATTCACAAGAAATTACTTATATGCAACAGGTTGCGATGAAATTAAAACATATATCATTGGACTCAGTTTGCAGGGTTATTTGTCAACTTCTTTTTTAAAAGCTATGTGTTTTGAACTAGTAAATACCATTTGTATTTTATGCTTTAATACTATAGACCTCCGACCGCATGTGTAATACGCATTCCAAGAAAGCACCATTTTCAAAGCGCCCTTTTCATCATGGCAGAATGAAGATAAAACTACTGTGTTTTGAAATTTGATGAAGTTACACTATAGAGTAGATACCCCTTTTTTTTATACATTCGAAACCTCCAACGCTCAGTTCCAAATTAAAATAAGAGATATCTACTCT